ATTTCATCTGATTTCATGGCCCTTATCTCCACCCATATGCTCATGGCTTCCCACTCACTACCCAGCTTGGACCTTCCTCCTGAATGCCAAAATCATGTGTCTACTTACCAACACTTTGACTCCCCTTGAATTCTAAGTAAGCATCTCAGACCTCCTGGTCTCCACGGTAACTGCAACTTCTCTGATATTTCCCTTCTAGTAAAAGGGCCTGCCTCCATTCATTTAGTTGCACCAATCAGAAATCTTAGAGTTACCCATTCCTATCCAACCCCTCAACAAACTGCTGGGTCCACCTTCAAAAAGTACCTGGAATCAAATGTATCTTCCCACACCTCTCAAAATCACCTGTCAGCCAGATACTTAATACAGGCACTGCTCAGCAGGCCTTCTTGCTTCAATCTTGCCTCCTAAACCATGTGTTTCTCAAACACTCCCTAGAGCAGCCCTTTAAATAAAAGTCCACCCTTGTCACCTCCTGGCTCTGAACCATTGCTGTTAGGATAAATTCCACAGCCCTTGACATGACCAGCAAGAAAGCCCCAACATGAAGCTGATTTTTGGATCTGTGCCCTTGTTGCATCCTCATAAGTTGCTTCACGGATGTTGCTTTCTCACTGGAATCCTTGATGCTGGTAGTCTCATTACCCATAATGCTCTTCTGCTGGTTGCCCAACTACCAGCAATATCTGCTAGTTTTTCTGCTATCCACAATGATCCCCTATAACATTACTCACATACTACTTTATTCACATTTCTTCTCAAATGTAACCTGTCAAATAACGCTTCCTGTGACCTTCTAAAGCCTGTGTCTCTTTTTATTTCCCTCTGTAACTTATGTAGTCACCCAAGTATGCTGTCATTTCTTCATTTTTTCCCCTTCTACCTACCAGACTTTAAACCTTAAGGAGGTCAATTTCATTGTTTTTTAACATTTTCCCTGTTTTATCACCAAAACCAAGTACTGTGCCTGGCTCTTAGTAGCATCCAAATGGATATTTGTTAGTGAATTATTTAATGAGTAAGGGAATGAATGATCTCTTACTTGCAGAGTTTTCTAATATGTGAAACTGAAATGTTAAGAACTGAGGTAGGAGCCATTTCCAGCACAGGAGAAGAGGCTTAAAAATATGTGTGGAAAATGGGTGGTTCAGCAGTTAGGAGCATTTGTTGCTCTTCCAGAGGACCAGAGTTCAGTTCTCAGCACTCAATGTCAAGCCTCTCACAGTTCTCTGTGACTTCCTCAGGGGGTACTACATTTTCAGAAGATCCTTCTTCAGCCTCTAGGGGGGCACCAGCAACCATGTGGTATACACTCACACACACACATGCACGCACACACACAAACACACACGAACTCGTGCACACACACAATATTTTTAATTCCTTTATTTATAAATGAATATTATTTGAAATAGAATTTTACCTCAGTGGTTGTGCATGGGAGTTAATCACCTTGTGACCTATATGCCTATCACATTCTACTTGCATTTCCTCATTTTGTATATCTCTCTCTGGTTTCTGCTCCTCTAGGGGTGTGTGCAGAAAGTGCTCATTTGAGCTTGCAACTAGGGTCCTATTTAATTGGTGGGCATGCCTTTCAAGCAGTCCATTTCGGTAAGAAATGTCCCATGGGCTCCAACAAAATCTCTGGCCCTAGAAATAGGCAGACCTCCTTACCAGTCACACTCTCCAGCCACACACATCAGGTCAAGGAGGAGAAGTGTTAAGGACTCCCTGCAATCACATGTAAACTTCTGGAGATCACAGACCTGCTTCTAATTGAAAAACCTTTTGCACCTTCACTGACAAGCAGAACTTCTATGTTCCTGAGGCCTGGGGTAATTGCCTTCCATTCTTGTCTAACACCTGGAGATTCACTTGACCAGGAAAAGGAAAGAGCATGTCAGCAGAAGGCAGGTTTAACTTTGAACCTGGTCTTCATGAGCTGTTTGACCTATGCTGTTTATTTGACCTCCTCAGCCTTCATTTCTCCAAGGCTCCAGTAACACCTTCCTGGCCTATAATCCTGTGTTGCTTATATACTGTCCTGTAGGCAAAGCAGACCTGCAACTCAACAGCCTCAACTACTGCCATCTTTTTGGTGATGAGTGTTTGGGGTTGACAGTCTGGAGGGGACTTAGCTGGGAAGTTGTGGTTTCTGCTAGTTACCTTTTGTCTTTCAGGGAGTGGCGTGGCTCAAGTTTGTGAGCTCCCTGGGTGGAAGGAACCGTGTCTCTGGTAATCCCTCAGATTATCACATAGTTGATCCAGAATGCATTTAGCAAGCTTCCAAAGGGGCCACAGGGATCCTGCTTTTAAAGGGGCTTAAAGCTCTTCCTTTCCATACTTTCGTATCCCACCTTCTTTCCTCTCATCTGTTCTCTTCATTTGTCAACAGTCTTGGTTCTATTCTCAGTTCATCCATACACACATGATTTTATACATCTATATAAAAATCTAAGAACCCCAAATGAGAGAAAGCATGTTATTTCTCTTTCTGAGACTGGGTTAGTGTCTTTAATATGATTAGCTCCGGTTACAACATTTTCCTGCAAACATTACTTTCTTCTTCTTAATGACTAAAAACAGTCCCATTGTGTACATATACACACATTCTTTATCTGGTCCTCTGTTGCAGGACATCTAGGATAGAAAAATGGATAAGTAACTTAGCTGTTGTGGATGTGTTCAACTGACAACACATACATTCATGAAATGCCTTTATATGACAGTACAATGTCCAATGAACACAGAGTTAATTTTTAAATATAATTACGTGTGTGTGTGTGTGTGCTCGCGCACGCATCACAGTACGTGTGTGGCAGTCACAGTACAACTTGTGGAAGTCAGTTCTCTTTCCATCATGTGGGTCCCAGGAATGGAATTCAGGTGTCTCCAGGCTTGATGACAAGTACCCTTTATGTGTTAACCCCGCTCATCAGCCTGACATTAAAGTAAAATAATATAATAAAAGTTCAGGAGCCTGGGTGGCTCACATCTGAACCTTCAGTGGGAGGCCGAGGAAAGAGGATATCCTGAAAGCCCGAGGCCCGGCTGGGCTGTGTGGTAAATTCTAAGCTGGCCTAGGCTATTATGTGAGACCTTGTCTCATCTCAGTCCTGAGAACTGGCCAAATCCTTAAGTCAACAAGACCCAGAGTAGAAAATAGGCTCTTGTCAGCGATTAAGAGCAGTTGCTACAGTTCCAGAAGACCTGAGTCAGTCCATTGCAAAATCACACTGCAAACTGCTAGGATTCTTCAGGGGTGAAGAAGAATGGCCTCCTTGTGCTGTGTGCCAGCTCTCTGACCACAGTGCCCCCTTAGTCCCCTGAGCTCAAAACAGAGGTGGGGAAGGAGGTGGCAGGCCTGACATTGCCCCATCAGCCCCTCTTACGTGTCCTTGGGGAGCCTGGCTCCGAGGTGTGGGGAGACTCCAAGTCAGCCCAGGGCACCTTCATTCATGGCCTCAGCTGCTGCACAGATGTTACTCCAGGCAAAAGGAAGAATGGTCACAGGTGAATCCTTACCAAAGGAGACCACTCAAAGGTGTACTGACCCCTGATAGCCATATAGCTAGTGCACTGTTCGCCTTGTCTGTCTAGATGAAGGGAAGACAGCGTGTCAAGGGCTGATGATTAAATCTGTGAGATTCTTAGAGAGCCCTTGGTAGCTGGCAAGGCCTGGCAAAGCCAGTGGTGATGCAGACTATCACCAGGGCTGAGGCACAGGAGTCTGAGCAGCAAGGGCTCGACCCTTTGTTTAGTGCTAGAGACTGAGCCTGAGGCTTTTACCCATGCCATGCTGAGCTGCATACCCTCAGCCTTGTTTTTCACTATTTAGTTTTTGAGACACAGAATTGCCAAAGCCGAATAGAACTCACTCTGCAGAACAAGCAGGCCTTGTGATCCCCCTGCAGCCAGGGGTCTGGGCACTACCATACTGAGCCAGAGAAAGGGAAGTTTTCAAAGGATTTTAAGCACAAGGCTCACACTCCCTCTGTGCTTCCAGAAGCTTCCCGCATCAGTGTGAAGATCGGATTAGCAATGCAGACTGGACTCAAGTCCAGCACTCTTCCAAATCCATTTGGTGTCTCTCTATAAACCTCAAAGGCAAAATGGAAATGGTCTGGTTTACTGAGCTGAAAACCAGGGCAAGGGCACATGAAGGGCCAGGAAAGCAAAACAGACTGTTGAAATACTGAGTCTTATACACACACCACATACACAAGCACATATCACACAGGTACCTCACACTCCCTGACACCACATATACACAGGCACATGCATGTACACACATAATACACACACACATGCATACATACATACATTCCATACATATAATATACATGCACATACATGCAATGGCACATATACATATACACATGTACCATACACATACATAAGCATATACCACACATACATGCGTGAGCGCACACACACACACCCCACATGGGCATACAGGCATGCCTTACACACAGCTTTCTTTCCACATGTTTCAGATACATACAGGTTAGAGAGCTTCTGATCTGTGTCCTGGAGACCAGTTGGCCACATTTATGTCAAGTCAGAGGGAGACATCACTTGTATACTGTGCTATCCATAGAGACAAATAGCTGCTGACTGGTTATTAAAGAGAGGGCGCAGCCCCACACACATGCAGCAATGGCGGGGGTCACACCTCATTCCCCACTATGCAAATTAAAAGACAAAAGGTCGAAATCCCAGTATCCTGGAGCTTCAGACAGCACGTTGGTGGGGGCCTAAGCAAGGGCGGGAAGAAGGCAGAATGAGGCGATGGAGCCTCTTTCTGCTCACTGGCTTACAGGCCACAGGTGGACCACTGCGGCCCATGTCAGCTAGCCGCTGACCTTGGGCTACCCACGCTGGGGCCTGGCTCAATCTCCCAGGCTAAGGTATCCGTGGGGTACAGGGCAGAGCTGCACCCCCACAGGAGTCACAGGACCGATCATAAGAGAGGTTGTCCTGTCATTGCATTGCAGCTCCAGAAACTAAAACGGTCACTTTCTTTCAAGACCAAGAGCTTGCGGAGCAAAAGTGCTGACAACTTCTTCCCAAGAACCAACAGTGACGTGAAACCACAAGCAGACCTGCTGGCCAAGGCCAGCCCGGGGCCCAGCCCCAAACCCATGCCGGGAAGCCCGGCACCCATGCCCGCCAGGGCTGGCCTGCACCCCGGCAGCAACAGCAAGGTCCACGCCTTTCAGGAGCATGTCTTTAAGAAGCCCACCTTCTGTGACGTCTGCAACCACATGATCGTGGGTAAGACGCCCCCACCCTCCAGGTGCAATGCCCCTAGGGAGAAAAATGAGAGCTGGATGCCCAGGTTCAGGGACCCACAGACCGACTCCAAGCTTCAGAGAGTTAGAAGCAACAGGGTGCAGGCGGGGAGCGGCTTTGAGGGAGAGGACTTTCAAAAGGCAAAGGGAAGCAGGACCAGGTGGAGGGAGAAGTTGTTTGGGATGCAGTTGTAACCAAGACGTCAGCAGGCACCATCCACCAGTTGCCTGGTGCCCTTTACACCTGTTCTGTATGTGGCCCACATATGCCTGCCTGAGCCTGATAGTCCAGGTAGGCTCAGGAGACCTGAGATGTTTGTGTTAGTCATCACTGAAACTGGACGCATTAGTGATGGCCACTGAGGCCAAGGAGGTATAATGTTCTATGATTCCCTCACCCTTGTCAAGGTCCTTGTTAATGGGTGTGCCAATGTAAAAGAGTAAAAAGAGATTTTATTCTAGGGATAAATTTTAGTGGCCATGGTCCTGAGAACACAGATTTAGGTTACCCTAAATACCATGCTTCAATGGTTCATGAAGTTTTTCTAGTAACAAAATAATGAAAATTAATGAGAAAGGAATTTTTTCCATTGTATGGGTGAAATTAGCAGGTAGCCATGTTATGGAAAAGTGGCAGGGTGGGGGTGGTCCTCGGGGCTCAGCCTCAGATGTGATCTGTGACATGTGCAGCCTTTGGGTTGGTGGAAGTTTAAGGTCATCATATTTTCTAAAAACTATTTACCTCCAAGTCTTACAAGGCTGATAGTTCAAACACAGGTGAGCAATCAACGACTGGAAAACTAAAGATAGCCCCAAACCGTGGAGTGTTGTGAGATAGAGCTGTACATCTGGTACCGCTCTTGTTCTGGGACCTTCCATTCCCAGGTGGGATCATCTAAATGAGAAGCCACGTCAGTTCCAGAGCTGCCATAGCTGTGAGACCTGTCCTCATTTTCAGATAAGGCTTGCTGCCTCGCCACTTTCAACTATGTCTGTTCTTCCTCCAAACAAGCCACAATGGAAAAGGAGGTTTGTATTAGTCAGAGGTTTCCATCAGAACACCGCCTAATGTCTACCAGAAAGTCTCCACACCAAAACAAGCCATCTTTCAACTCTCATTTGAGCGTATTCAGATCGGGCAGAGCCCAACTGACTGGGACATTACTCAGCAGTTCCATCTTTTCTTGTCCTTGTCCCCACTCTTTCCTCAATCAGAGGGCCCCTCATCTTGTCCCTGGCAGGGACAAGAGGCAGAGGAGTTCTTGAGCTGGAGGTGGCCCAAGGTGACTTCTGATGGATCCCTTTGGTTGGGTAAATTGATTGAGAAATCCCATATTTGGGAGGGTAGAGACATATTTAGTATCTCCAGCTACCTGAAAAGGGGGAATGGAGGAAGAGATGGAGAACAGGGTCAGCAACCTGATCTGGTGCTTAGGTCGTCTGTGGATTTTTCAGCCTCTTTGCCTGGTAGATGCAGCTCCTTCTCGGAGCTCCCACCCACTCCAGCTCCATTTGAGTGTAGCACCTGGCTGCCAGCGTGGGAGACCAAGGGGTTCCCATCATGTCCCCTTCTCAGAGAACTTGGGCAGCCTGCCTCCTGCTTGGTTTTCTTGAATGCCTCCTTTCTGAGTCCCATGCGTCACCTTCAGTTGCCACCAGGCCTTCTCAGAATAGCGCTATTCATAACCCCAAAAGAGGTGGGGATACGCTTCTATTTTAGATCTCATTGTGATGCGTGTGAAAAGATGAGGAGCATGTGTTCTTGGGAATGAGTAATGGAAATGTGCTCACCTCTGAGGAATGTCACAGCCATTACCCTACCAGGCTTCCCAGGACACCGCAAGTGCAGGAGCTTAGTGAGACTTGCTGCTAAAGAAGGCCTCACTGTGCTTTTATCTGAATTAAATTTGTTATAGGTGTCTTTAAAAAAAAATCATGCTGGAGGAAGGAAGGAGTAAGTGCAAATGGGTGCATAATGCTCACAGAGGCCAGAGCTGGAATTACACATGGCTGTGAGCCTGCTGGTGTAACAGGTCCTGGGAATGAAACTTAGGAGAAGCAAGGGCTTTTAACTGCTGAATCATATCTCTCCAGCCCCGCATAGCTGCCATCTATCTATCTATCTATCTATCTATCTATCTATCTATCTATCTATTTTTTTTCTTTTGGAAGACAGGGTCTAATGTATCCCAGGCTGGCCTAATTATCTCTAATTAAGATAATTTTGAACTCCTAATGATCCTACCTACCCTCCGCCAGAGAACTGGGATCACATCTGTGTGCCACCGCACCTGGTTTTAATAAGGCAGTGGGATCAAACCCTGATCCTCATGGATGCTGAGAAAAAACACCGTATCAACAAAGTTCATCCTCTAGGTGCTTTTTTCATTGGGTTGGTATAGGAAGACACCTGTGCATGTGGAGGCTAGAGGATGAATGTCAGGCACTCTCCTTATTTTTCTGAGGCAGGGTCTCTCATTAAACCTGGAGCTCACCTTTTCTGCTAGGCGGGCCAGCCAGAGGGCTCCAGGAATCTTCCTGCCTTATCCCAATCCTCCTCCAGCACTGGGGTTATGAATATGTTCCATGCTGTTCCTGGCTTTTATATGGGTGTCGGGGATCCAAACTCAGGCCATCTTGCTTGCTTTACCCCCTTAACCAGGTGTTCTCAACCTGTGGGTAGCAACCCCTTTGGGGGAGTTGAACAACCCTCTCACAGAGGTCACATAAGGCCATTGTAAAATACAGAAACTTATATTACAATCCATAATGGTAGCAAAATTACAGTTACGTAGTAGCGACAAAAAAAAATAATTTTATGGTTAGGGGTCACCACAACATAAAGGGTCGCAGCATTGGGAAAGTTGACAGCCATTGCCCTAAGCCATCACCCCAAGCCCCACTGCTTTGCTATCTTTGAAAACATAAAGGGGGAAAGAAACGTAGTTCATAAGTCCATCTTTGAAGGAAAGAAGAGAATGCTACTCCCCTCCCCTAGGTACACTCACAGTACACTCACAGCTAGTTTTGTGGGACACCTCCTGTGAGGCTTGTTGACACTTATCCTTGAAGTCCTAAAGGTCACATGTCCACCATGAGGACACTGACCAGTAGAGACAGGCTCAGAGCTGACCATCTGTTTCAAGTACCTCAGACTTGATGCCCAGGGCCTCCCTGCTGAGTTGGCTCCCACACCCTGTGGGTTAAGCGGCTCAAGGCCCTAATCATCACTTGCATATGGAGGTGGGGGGAGTGCTGTGGATGAGTTTTTCTCTTTTAATTTTTAATTTTTATTTTTTATATTAATTACAGTTTATTCACTTTGCATCCCAGCTGTAGCTCCCTCCATTATTCCCTCCTAATCCCACCCTCCCTTCCTCATCGCCTCCGATGCCCCTCCCCTAGTCCACTGATAGGGAAAGTCCTCCTCCCCTTCCATCTGACCATAGCCTATCAGGACTCCTCAGGACTGGCTTCCTTGTCTTCCTCTGTGGCCTGGTAAGGCTGCTCCCCACTCAAGAAGAGGTGATCAAAGAGCCAGCCACTGAGTTCATGTCAGAGACAGTTCTTGTTCCCCTTACTAGGGAGCCCATTTGGAAGTCACATATGTGCAGGGATTCTAGGTTATCTCCATGCATGGTCCTTGGTTGGAGTGTTTTAAGCAGTTTAGGATAATATTTTAATTTATTTTTTTGAAAATTTAAACGTGGATACAATATTATTTCAATCATAGACACCCCCTCACCCACCTCTAACTCCTTCCAGATCTCCAACATCCCCCTCCCAACTTAATGTTTTTGTCTTTAAAAGACCGTGCTGTGTACCCCACCCCTAACCATGCATCTTCTGTAGGTCTTGTGGAGGAGACCAAAGCACCTGTTAGTGAGCCCAACACTCCTTTGGTGTCCAGAAGACACCTTTTCTCCCCAGCCCACCCCAAACTCTGCCCCTTAACAATCTCTCTACATTCTCATTTTCAATGTTCCCTAAGACTTCTGGTAGGGAGTGTGATATATTTGCAGCTCTTTAAGTTAGCCCCTCCTACAAAAAAAAAAAAAAAAATAGTCACCTATTCAAGCCAAAATAGACAACCCAGGCTTTCTTAGAAATGTGAGCAAAGGGGGTTGGGGATTTAGCTCAGTAGTAGAGCTCTTGCCTGGCAAACACAAGGCCCTGGGTTGTGGGGAAGAAAAAAAAAAGGTAACTAGAAATGTGAGCAAAGCAAGGAGTCATGTGAGCTCCAAAGATGAACAACCCTGCCTCTGGAACAACAGGGGTCAAGATTAAGTCTTAGGTGGAGAGAATTCTGAACCAACTGAGGTCCTTGGTCAGAACAATTGTGTCTTTCCAAGCAGATCCTCTCCTGAAATCGCCAAGGCTTTACAAGGAGAGCAAGGGTCAGGGAACCATCTTCCTGCATTTCGCATAAGTGGATTCTACTTGAATTGAGTATGGACAGTGAGTCACTCAAGGGAACATCAAACCCATGTGACAATATGCAATTAGTCAATGTGGGCTTTTATGTGGTATGTGCACACACATGAGTGCAAGCTTATGTGTGTCTGTACCTGGTCATGTGTGTGTGTGTGTGCATGTGGAGACTGAGGACAATGTAGGGCATCTTTACTCTCCATCTTATTTTTCAGATAGACTCTATCATTAAACATGGAATGTAACAATTGGGGTACACCAGCTAGCCAGCATGCTCATGAGGTCCTCCTGTCTCTCCCTAGTGCTGAGATTATACCACCACAGACAGCTTTTTCACGTATGTGAAACACGTATTCTTAATATGCCTAACTCCATCCGTGGGTCTACTCCACCAATTAAGGAGATTTTTTTCCCCTACAAGTCCCAAGTTTTCTGTTTATTGAGACACCGTGTTTCTAAGACTAATTTTAAAATAATTTTAGTGTCTTTAACTGTAGTCTGCTTAGAAAATACATTAATGGACTCAGATTTTATGAAGAGATTGTTAGAAAC